TACCTCTGTATCACTATTCTAAATTCAGACAGACTATTTTTTGAAAAGCTCCAACATATGACAGAGGACATGTAGTACTGCCTGTGTCTGGCTCATTTCACTTGTCATAATGCTCTCCAGTTCCATCCATTTTACTGCAAATGTCTGTTTCTTCTTAGAGGCACTCCTCCCAGTCTCATTACTGCTCCCAAATAGCCTCATTACTCTCTACACTTGTCCTGTTGGCCTGTTTGCTTCATTCCCAAGTTAGACCCCAGTTACTGGATCTCTTGGTTTACTCTTTCAGTTTGATGGAGTTCATCTTCCGGTTCTTTCCTGGAATGAACTATAGGACATAAATATTTTCAGACATCAATATCTGAAGAGCTACGCTCTGTCTTCACTTTACACTTCTGGAGATAGAATTCCAGACTGGAAATAGTTTTCCTCAATATTTTGGAATTTTACTCCATCATCTTCTGGCTTCTAGCAGTGGTATTGAGCCGTAGGAAGTCTTCTGAAATGGGATGTCTTTTGCTTGAATGTCCCCTGGCATCCATCTACACCCACTGTTCACGTGCTGCTGCAGACCAGGATCTTCTGTTTGCCCCTAGTGATCTGTAATGTCACGGTGATGTGCTTCACAGTGGGCTGCCTATCATCTTGTCATTCAGGGTTCTGACCCTCAACACATCCTCTCAGTCTGGGAATACATAACCCTCATTTCTGAGAATTTTCCTCCAAACGTTTCTTTGACAGTCTTCTTGCATTTTTAAAACTATTTTGGCTGTTTTCTCATGCACGGAGAGGCAGCCTGTCAAGTTCCCTTCACCCAACAATAAACCTTTTCCCTTACTCCAGTGTTTGGTGTGTTTCATGGTGACTTTTCACTGGTGCCGAAACCTGGGACCAGGCTCTCCCATCAACTTTTCTCTCCCCTTGGAGATATGAGTTACTTCGGGATCCTGGACTTCTTGCAACCACAAAACTCACCCTCCCCGCCCCCCAACCTCCTTCTTCACCACCGAATACTCTGTGATCTCCATCCACACCCCAGCCTTTCAGAATTCTTGAGTGTTTACAGGAAGTGATAATGGAATGAACCAAACCTTTCACCTACCAGATGCTACTACAGGGATATACTCGGCTCCCCACCTAGGACATCACGACTTCAGATTGCCCCATGCCAGCAGAGAGTAACTCGTTGCCCCATGTCAGAATGAAGGAGCTCTAGAATATAAATCATTGTCCCTCCGCTCCTCCTGCACTTTGGGGGCCGATGTAATCCCATACTTGCTTTATAAAAAACAAAAAGGGCGGGGGGAATGTTTAGTAAATTGGTACTGTCTTCCTAAGCTCAGCCTGGCTTACTAGAAGTTAGGTGACCAGATGGCCCAATCACAAGCATCAGCTCCATGCCCACCCTAGCAGGATTTGCTGCTCCTACTTCTTTACCTCTGCAAAGCTATATAAGACCTTTTCTCCTAGTACAGGTTGTTGTTCTCCAGCGCATAGGGAGGCAGCCTGTTGGGTTTCCCCACCTGACAATAAACCTTTCCTTTAAAAAAATAAAACTATTTTATGGGGCTAGTGTTGTGGCACAGCAGCTTACAATGCTGCCATATTTTTAATATGGCACATTTAATATCACATTTTTTAAAATAGTGGCTATTTTGGATCTGTGTTTCCATCTTAAATTGTATCTTCAATTAACTAGTGCCTTTATGTTCTTGCTCATATTTTATATTAAGGAGCAAGACAACAAAAGACTGTTTTGAACCTCTGTGATAGGCAACCACTGGTTACTTGGTGGCTGCATTACAGGGGAGGCTGGCTGAAGTCCTTACTGGAGGCTCAGGAAGGCTTTTCAGTGCATGGCAAGCAGGGTTCTTGAAGCAGAGGAGAAGGTGACAGGGGTCCCCAAGTCAGTCTATGGCCTTCACTTAGGTCTTTGTTTCTGATTTGTCTCCTCTGCCTGCAGGTGTTCCTCGTGTCCCCCAGCCTGTTGTCACTCTACTAGGAAACGTCTAGACTTCTGCTGGAGTGAGGAAGGTGCAGTCTCCCAGTGACATGGAATGAGCTATATGAGTTATAACAGCTCTTTTTAAATAGTCTCAGCTAGTGATTTTGTAGCTCAATTTTTATTCTACTTTCAGAAGTATCTCATGCCTCCAGTGCCTGAACTTTTTGACCCTTTGCTTGAATTAACCTTCTTCTAGGTTGTTCCATTTCAGCTTTGTTTTCACCTTTCTCTGGTTCACCAGGTTAGTTAATACTCATCCATCTACTCTTCATATTGTATTACTGTGTTCCAATTATCTATTCTCCCTTTAGCTCCATGCTTGGAAGACTAATTCTTTTCTCAACTCATTTACATTAATTTTAGTGTGCTTTTACTACAAAGTGGTCATAATTTTATGTTTTCAATCCATCATTTATAATAATTTACTTATTGGTGCTGTTGCATTTGAAACACTAGACTTAGCTATGGAAGCTTTATCATCTTTGGCTGCTATGGTCATAGCGTTTTTTTTTTTTTTCTTTTTCCATGTCATCTCATTTTCTTCCTTCAGTTATTGCTCCTTTTACTTACTGCTAAACTGTTGTTGCTTCCCTGGTCTCTCTCCTATATCTTCTCATGTTTTCCTTCATGTGTTTTCCATAGATAGTATCATACACTTGCATGGACTTAGCCACTTTCCCAGTGATCCTGACTCCGGAATCTATGTCCGGAATCTATGACTCAGATTCACATAACAGCTTAGAAACCAGAGGGAGGAAAAAAAAAAGATCCCATTTCTCTATTCCCTAATCAGGCAAAATAAATTCCTCTTTTAGATGAAGGAAATAGCAGAACTGAAGACAGATACTCAGTTTCAGACAAGTAACAAAGCCAAGAAGGAGCTGTATCTGTCCTAATATGTTCAGTTTTGCTTTAGTAACAAGCAACCCCAAAATCAAACTGACAACACCAAAATGTTGTTTTCTCTGTCCTGGAAAATCTGCTGTGACTTGGGGCAATTCTTCAGGGAAGCTCTTCTATACTAGATCAAGTTTCCAAGTCTCATCAATTTCATGGAACGTCAACACGTGTTGTGAATCTCCCCATGGTGGGAGAGGAGAGAGCTGCATAGCTGAGCACAGGCATCCAGGGCTGAAAATAGCAGGTGTCTATTCATTGTCCAAAGCAAGACACATAACCACCTCTATCTTTAAGGAGGCAGGGAAGTGCATTTCTGTTGGGGTCTGAGAATCAGATACTGCTGAACAGTAGTGATTTGTAGCATTGAAAACATTAAGCCTTAAACAGAAAATTTGGCCTTAATTTTATAATCCCAGTATGTAGTTTGATAACTGGTACAGAGTGGGTGTTAACATGTTGAATTCAGGTATGTGCTAGGAGATGGTTAGATTAGTCTCTTTGAAAATATGTTCAGAAGAGTCTTGAGTTGATACCTTAATTTCCTTTCAAAATAAACAGGAGCAGTCAGAAGCCTTCTATTGGCCTTTCTGTGGCACAAATATGGAGTCATTTAAAAAAAATAGTTCTTACAGCATCTAAGTATTTGGAAACCTCAGAAAGACTTTTAAGTTTGCAGCTTGAAGAAGAGACATTTCATTGCCTTCTTGTTTATATTTACCTTGGGCAAAATTCCTCTCCAACCTGAAACACAAAAGGCAAGCCTAGCAGGGGAAAAAAGTGACAAGATATTGCCCTGAAAGAGAGAGAGAGAGAGAGAGAGAGAGAGAGTATTTTTTATATTGCTTTGGGCAGATAAATAGGAGCCTCATGGAGCATGAAATTAGCACAGGAGTTTAAGCTCCCGTTGAGAGCCTCTTTCTCATACCCCCCCCCCCATCCTACTTGCACTTTGATCGACAGTTTCACACATGTAATCTCTAGCAGTGAAGGGTCACAGAGGTGATGATGAGAGGTGGTGTTGAATGATTGGTGTAGAGGAATGCCACATATCCAAAAAAGGAGATTGTGTGTTCAGAGTTATTTAGGATTTCTCAGGTGTTTCATACCAAAAGCATTCTCAAGTTCCATTCTTTAAAAAACTTTGTTTTTGTTTAAATTAAATATACTTACTGTGGGGCAGGCATCATGTACAGTGGGTTAAGCCTGCATCACATATTGGAGTAGAAATCTGAGTGCCAGTTACTCTGCTTCTAATCCAGCATCCTGCCAGTGTGCCTGGAGGCAGCGGTTGATGGCCTAAGTATTTGGGTCCCTGCCGTGCGTGTGTGAGACTTGGCTGGAGTTCCAGGCTCCTAGTTTTGGCCTGGCCCATCTCCTATTGTTGCAGCCATTTGGAGAGTGAACCAGAGGATGGAAGGTTGGTTTCTCTCTCTTTCTCTCTCCCTCCCTCTCTCCCTTTCTCTCTGCCACTCTGCCTTTCAAATAAATACGTACTTTAAAAAAAATAAAATAGGTTTACTATGAACAATTCAAGGAAGAAAGGTAAGTAGAAAGGATAAATATACAAAAGTTATTATCCTTTATCCCAGCAATAAAAATGACCAGTATCCCATTAGGTTCATATTCCAAGTATCTTTCAGGATGAACAGAGAGAACAGTACCACCACCATCCTCTGGTCCCCTCCCCACCCAACACACACACCTCTTACAACCCCTCAGTGGTGGAGAGTCCCAGGGTCAGGCCAAGATAGGCCAAGATCTTTCCCTCATATTTTTACCCCAAAAGGAACCAGACTAGTCCTATAGCTTTAAATGACACCTGGATGATGATGGCTTCCAAATGTATACATCCAGCCTTGTTTCTCTGGGCAATGGACAGCTAGATTGCAGGGGGTTGGAGAGTGAAGGGCAACTTAGAGATAAAGATTCTAGTTGGATTCTTGGTCTTTCAGATGTAAAGTTACATGAGTCTCTGAAAGTTTTAGGTATATTTTACCATGAACAGTATTTTAAAAAATCTTTATGTCTTTTAATACTACCTATCTTTTGTTGAGTGTCTACTACATGTTGAATATTGTGCTGTGTGTCTTATCTACAGGCTCATTTTGTCATCAGGATTTAAGAAGAAACAAACAGAAACCAAGGTTCAGAGCAATAAGCACCATTCCCAAGTGGATGAGGTTATAAGTGTGAGAGCTGGGAATTGAAATCCGGGGGCCTATGCTTTTTCTAGTATTCTGTGTCCATTTGCATTTCAGTATCAATTTTGGTATCAGTTTGTCTTACTGCATTTTCTGCTACTATTACAAGATACCCAAGATTGGGTGGTTTATAAACAAAAGAGGTTTATTTAGCTCACAAAGTACAAAAAACATGGTGCTGGCATCCACTTGGCTTCTGGTGACTGATGGCATCTGGCATCACGTGGCAGTATGTGAAAGAGGTATGGAAGAGATGTAAGCAAGACAGGCGGAGGAGAAATGGCAGGCTCACTTTTATAAACCACGTAGTCTCACAGTAGCAAATTCAGTCCTAAGAGAGTGACAAGTCATTCCCACAACAAATTGATCTCTCTTAAAGTCCCCAACCCTTCCCACTCCCCAACCCTTCTTAGTGTTCCATTGGACACTAAGTCTCAACATAGGTTCTGGTGGGGAAAAATCATATTCAGATCATAGCACAGTTTGACAGTTTCCATACACACACACACACAACCACTTGTGATTGTGATTAAGATTATACTGAATTGTAGACTAGTTTGATATGGTGGCCAATTTTCTTTATCAGTTCACTGGGCTGATTAATGCCCTATTAGCTGGCAAAACTTTATTTCTAGATGGGTCTGTGAGAGTGTTTCCAGAAGAGGTGAGCTTTTGAACTGGCAGACTGAGAAAAGAAATACTCTTCACGCTGGGTGGGCATCACTCAATCCATTGAGGGCCAGACAGAGCAGAAGACAAGGAAGGGTGAACTTGCTCTCCAGTTGAGCTCTACATCTATCTTCTGCTCAGACATTGAGTTCCTGAAGTCAGGCCTTCAAACTGGGACTGAAGCCAACAGCTTTGGCCTCCCTTGCTCTTCAGAACCTTGGGTTTGAACTACAACTATTCCATTAGGTTTCCTAACCTTCTAGATTACAGATGGCAGACTGTGGAACTTCTCAGCCTCCCAAACTTCTCAGAGGCTGGTTGTGAGCCAACCTCTCATAATACCTCTCTTTCTGTATATCCGTGTTTATTCTATTAGCTTTGTTTCTCTGGACAGCCTTGACTAATACATTTGGGAAGAACTGGCATCTTATACTGTTGAGTTTTCCCACTCTGAATAGATGTTTCCCTACATTTATTTAAGCCTCCTTTAATTTCTCTCATAATATTTTGTGGTTTTCATTGTGCAGCACAATCGATTCACCACAGTCCTGGTGGGGCAGGGGCTTCCTGTAAGTCAGGCAGGGATCTGATGGGTGAGAAGTGAAATAAGGAAAGTGCAAAATGTGGGTAGACAAGATGATTAAAGGTGCCACTAGATAAAGCAATGATTTAAAAAATTTTATAGTGGACAGCAATAGGTGGGCACATAACATATCATAAATACTCCAGAGAGTATTTATAGGACGCAGCCTACCATGGACTGATGATTCAGCAGCAATTTTTTCACGGGGAAAGGACTGTGGTTATTATTGAGGCATGATGTTTGTCATCTTTAGAAGTAAAGAGCAGCTGGGCTGAAGCCAGGCCAAGTTTGCCTTCTGGGCCCTCCCCCTGCTTCCATTTCTGTAACTCTCTCCAGCTGCTAGCATTACCTCTTCAGCTTCCTCATATTTCCTCAAAATCTCCCCTGCACCACCCACATCTAGACCTGCCTTTTACTGTACTTGTCCACAGATCCATGAACAGACCTCAAACCCCCCTCCCTCCCCATCTCTTCACTTATTCATATGTAGAGTATTCAGGTATTCAGGGAAAGGAAGTACAGAGGGATCCAGTTAGTGCCCATACACGTAGTAAGTTGCAGGCATCTGATAGGCATTTTTCAAATTAGGGTTAAAGACGTAATCTTAGAGGTTTCAGAAGTTCTTGGGGATTTAGGTAATAATAGCTAATATCTATAAGTACTTGTTTCTAGTACTGTTTGAAATTCTTTATATGTACTAACTGATTTGTTCTCACTCTAACCCTATAAGGTAGATGCCCTTCCACCATTTAACAGATGGGTAAACTGAGCAACATGTTTATTCCCATCAAATCTATGTCCCACAGGTCACAGTACAGTTAGGTTTATAGAAAAAAATAAGATGCTGAAGGTACATTATTATATGGCAGTTTTAATAGAATTTTAAAAAAGATTTATTTATTTATTTATTTGACAAAGATTCAGAGAGAGAAGGAGAGAGAGAGAAAAAAAATCTTCCACCGCTGGTTCACTCCCCAAATGGCTGCAATGGCTAGGGCTGGGCCAGGCTGAAGCCAGGAGCTTTTTCTGGGTCTCCCATGTGGGTGCAGGGCCCAAGGACTTGGGCCATCCTCCACTGCACTCCCGGGCCATAGCAGAGAGCTGGCCTGGAAGAGGGGCAACCGGGACAGACTCCAGTGCCCCGACTGGGACTAGAACCCGGTGTGCCTGCGCCGCAAGGCGGAGGATGAGCCTAGTGAGCCGCGGCGCCAGCCTATAGGCAGTTTTTTTTTTTTTTTTATAATTTGAGTAAATTATATTTAATAAGATATTTATTTCTTAAAATCTCTTTAAGCAAAAAATCATTTGTTTACACAGACAAGAAATGTGCCATAAACATTTTAAATTTGAGAAATCATGTTTTTCTATGCCCAAAAGTTCATTACACACAACACTATGGGGCTATATAAGCACAATTGAACTTGGAATATTCTGAGCAGAGAAACTTATCAATTGAGTGGTTTTTCCAGTATATAGATTATCAAATATAACATTATCTTTTTTTTTTAACTTTTATTTAATGAATATAAATTTCGAAAGTACAGCTTATGGACTACAATGGCTCCCCCCCGCCCAATGACTTCCCTCCCACCCGCAACCCTCCCCTTTCCCGCTCTCTCTCCCCTTCCATTCATATCAAGATTCATTTTCAACTCTCTTTATATACAGAAGATCAGTTTAGCATACATTAAGTAAAGATTTCAACAGTTTGCACCCACATAGAAACACAAAGTGAAAAATACTGTTTGAGTACTAGTTATAGCATTAAATCACAATGTACAGCACATTAAGTACAGAGATCCTACTTGAGGAGTTAGTGCACAGTGACTCCTGTTGTTGACTTTACAAATTGACACTCCTGTTTATGGCATCAGTAATCTCCCCCTAAAGGCAGTTTTAAAACATGTCCTCAAATTCTTTACCATTGTTCCCATTAAAATGGGAACGGGGTCCACATACTCTTCCCTTCAATGTGTGTTAGCCTTACTGGCTTGCTTCATAGACAGTAGAATATAGCAGAAGTGTTACTGAATGACTCCAAGGTTAGGTTAGAAAAGGCCACGATGGGTGGGTGTTTGGCACAGTGGTTAAGTTGTTGCTTGGAATGCTCACATCCCATGTGGTAATGTCTCCTCCACTTCTGATCCAGCTTCTTGCTGCTGTGTATCCTGGGAGGAAGTAGGGTTATGGCTCAAGTGGTTGGGTCACCAATGTGGGAGACCTGCATTGAGTTTTGGGCTTCCAGCTTTGGGTTGGCCTAGCCCTGGCTATTGTGGGTATCCTGGGGGAATGAATCAGTGAACAGGTCTCTCTTTTTTTATTATTGTTTTTATTTTTCCCCCAGAAACTTTTTATTTAAGGTTACAAAATTCATGCATTTCATAAATAAAACTTTAGGAACACAATGATTCTTCCCACCTTACCTGCCCTCCCACTCTCTCTGTTTCTCTATTTCCCTTCTCTTTCATTTTTTTATTTTTATTTTTATTTTGACAGGCAGAGTGGACAGTGAGAGAGAGAGACAGAGAGCCCCTTCTCTTAAAATAAGGGCTGGGCATTGTGGCGTAGCAGGTTAAGCCTCACCTATGGCACCGGCATCCCATATGGGCCCTGGTTCAGATCCAAGTGCTCCACTTCCTGCCCAGTTTCCTGCTGATAAGCCTGAGAAAGCAGCATAAGACGGCCCAGGTGCTTGGGCCCCTGCAGCCACGTGGGAGACTCAGAAGAGGGTCCAGCCTCCTGGCTTCAGCCTGGCCCAGCCCCAGCCATTGCAGCCATTTGGGGAGTGAACCAGTGGATCGAAGAGATCTCTCTCAGTCTCTCTCTTTCTCTACTTCTCTCCTGTCGCTCCCCCTCTTCATGGAGGAACGACACTAAACCCTGCCTAGGCTTCATATCCGAGTCACGGCACCATTATGTCGCTCCCCCTCTTCGTGGAGGAACGACACTAAACCCTGCCTAGGCTTCATATCCGAGTCACGGCACCATTATGTCGCTCCCCCTCTTCGTGGAGGAACGACACAGGACCCTGCGCTGTTCTTTCGTCTGCTCGGCCCTCCCCGGGTTTGCTGCTGGTTCTTCCCGGGTTGGCTACTATCCCTTCCACCTCCGTGGAAGGGCGGTTCCCCCTGGCTGCTTTCCCCACTTCCGCAGGGGAGCGGCACACCGCCGGCCGGCTCTCTTCGGGGGCTGCACAGGTGTTCCTTCAGCTAGATGTTCCCCTTAGATGTTCCCCCCGGTGCATGCCGTCTCTCTCCTCCTTTATAGTCCTCCTCCGCCAATCCCAACTCGGCTGCCCACACGCCGAGTACGCTGCTCTCCAATCAGGAGCAAGTCCTACAGTTTATTGGTTGAACTGGAGGCAGCTGTGCGGAAGCTGTTTACTTCTCTCCCAGCACCATATTGTGGGAGAGCAGATGCATAGAATAAGTCTTAATTCCAGTAACTCAGTCCAGTCCGGGCTGCTCCCCACAGATCCCCCTTTCTTTTTATTTTTTGGCGTTGATACGCGCCTGTCTTCGGTGTCCCGCGGCATACACTCTGCTCTACTTGCTAGAGTTGCCACAGGTTCTTACAAGTCCTATCAATCAGGCAAACCGAATCCGGGTCCTCTCTTCGCCATGTTGTGAGGAGGTTTTTAGGCGCTGATGTGTGCCTGTGTTCGGTGCCCTGCAGCGCATGCTCTGCTCTGCCTGCAGGGGCTTACAAGCCCTAACAATCAGGCAAACCGAATCCAGGCCTTCTCATTGCCGTATTGTGGGGGAGACTTATTAGTGTTGGTTCGTGCCTATCTTCGGTGACCTGCAGCTCATACTTTGGTCGAGCTGCTTGCTGGTGCTTACCGCCTTAATCAGGCAGACCGAATCCAAGCCTCCTAATTGTTGTATTGTGGGGAGGCCTTACTGATGTTAATTCGTGCCTGTCTTCGGTGACCTGCGGCGCATAAGCTGCTAGCCGCCACAGGTGCTCATCGCCTCACTTAATCAGGCAGACCGAATCCAAGCTCTCTCATTGCCATGCTGTGGGGAGGCCTTACTTCTCTATTTCTCTATCTCCGGGCATTCCTATTTCTCCCATTCCACTTCTATCTTCCAGCATTCCTATTTCTCTCACTTTACTTCCAAACTTCTGTTTCTCTTATCCCTGCGGCTTCCCGGCGCCTCGCCCTGCCGGCAGGCTCCGCCCCGAGGCTGCTTCTCGGCGCCTCGCCAGCTCTGAGCCGCTTCAGCCCGCGCCTCTCTCATCTGCGCGGCTCGGCTTTGCGCGGCTTGGCTTCGCGCGCTCCGCGGTCTCCACGCCCTTTGCGTCTGCACCACGGCCTCGCGGCAGCCCCGTTCCCTATCTATTCACGCCCCGTGCTCTCTCTGCACGCGGCAGCTTCCGCGGGTCACACAGCGTAGCTTGCGTCTCCGCCACTAGCATTCAATCCAAGTTCCCCGGGCTAGCCTGGCGAATTCAACCCAGCATACGTCTCCGCCCCACGGTTTGGCTTCCCGTCCTTTGCTCCCCGGGCTAATCAGACGGATCCCAATCTGGCTTACGTTTCAGCTTCTGGTTTCAACTTTTCGCCCCCCATTCCCGGGCTAACTTGAGAATCCCAAAGTGGCTTTTCGTTTCCGCCTCGGCCTGCCCCCCGCGGCTTCAATTTCCCTAACATTTTTCTCTACCCGGTATGTTTCCCCAAGCTTTCTTCCAACAATATTCCTCCCTCATTTCTCCTGGCCTCTCCCCACAGTCCGCGTCCGAGTCTGTTTGTTCTAGCTTTCACTTTCGCTTTCAACCTTAGAGATTTCTCCCAGCTTCCCCCCGTAGTCCGTATCTGAGTCTATGCCTAGGCTTTCAACAGCTTCCTCCGGCACCTTTTTCGTCCGGCTTTTCCCTAGGCTGTTTGCTAGTCTCTCTCTCCGATATTTTCCCTAGACTGTTTGCTAGTCTCTCTCTCCGATATTTTCCCAGTTCTTCCCGTTTCTTCCCTCCTAAGTTTCCTATCCGTCCTAGGTTTCCTATCCGACCTAGGTTTCCTATCCGAGTCACGGCACCATTATGTCGCTCCCCCTTTTCATGGAGGAACGACACTAAACCCTGCCTAGGCTTCATATCCGAGTCACGGCACCATTATGTCGCTCCCCCTCTTCGTGGAGGAACGACACTAAACCCTGCCTAGGCTTCATATCCGAGTCACGGCACCATTATGTCGCTCCCCCTCTTCGTGGAGGAACGACACAGGACCCTGCGCTGTTCTTTCGTCTGCTCGGCCCTCCCCGGGTTTGCTGCTGGTTCTTCCCGGGTTGGCTACTATCCCTTCCACCTCCGTGGAAGGGCGGTTCCCCCTGGCTGCTTTCCCCACTTCCGCAGGGGAGCGGCACACCGCCGGCCGGCTCTCTTCGGGGGCTGCACAGGTGTTCCTTCAGCTAGATGTTCCCCTTAGATGTTCCCCCCGGTGCATGCCGTCTCTCTCCTCCTTTATAGTCCTCCTCCGCCAATCCCAACTCGGCTGCCCACACGCCGAGTACGCTGCTCTCCAATCAGGAGCAAGTCCTACAGTTTATTGGTTGAACTGGAGGCAGCTATGCGGAAGCTGTTTACTTCTCTCCCAGCACCATATTGTGGGAGAGCAGATGCATAGAATAAGTCTTAATTCCAGTAACTCAGTCCAGTCCGGGCTGCTCCCCACATCTCCCTCTCTGTAACTCTGCTTTTCAAACAAATAAAGTATAAAGTTTCAAAAAATAAAAAGAAAAGAAATTTTAAAAAGAAGATCACAAGCCTTTTTTTTGTTTGTTTGTTTGTTTCAGAAACTCACTCTGGGGAAAGCCAGTTGCCAGGTGAGAAATTTGCCATGCTGGAGGGGCTGCATGAATATGCTGTGGTTCACGTCTGAGTTTTTGGCCAACCATGAGCCAGCATCCACACTCAGTCACATGGAGAGCCATCCTGGACATCCAGCCCCTTGAACCTTCAACGACAGCACTCACAGATGATACCCGACGGCCACTCCATAAGACTTCAAGAAAGAACTGCCCAAGCCAGCCTTTCCTGGATTTCTGAGCCACAAAATAAAACTGGGTACTGAAGCCATGACCTGTCGCTCCCCCTCTTCATGGAGGAACGACACTAAACCCTGCCTAGGCTTCATATCCGAGTCACGGCACCATTATGTCGCTCCCCCTCTTCGTGGAGGAACGACACAGGACCCTGCGCTGTTCTTTCGTCTGCTCGGCCCTCCCCGGGTTTGCTGCTGGTTCTTCCCGGGTTGGCTACTGTCCCTTCCACCTCCGTGGAAGGGCGGGTCCCCCTGCCACATTCCCCACTTCCGCAGGGGAGCAGCACACCGCCGGCCGGCTCTCTCAGGGGCTGCACAGGTGTTCCCCTTAGATGTTCCTGGTGCATGCCGTCTCTCTCCTCCTTTATAGTCCTCCTCCGCCAATCCTAACTCGGCTGCCCACACGCCGAGTACGCTGCTCTCCTCCAATCAGGAGCAAGTCCTACAGTTTATTGGCTGAACTGGAGGCAGCTGTGTAGAAGCTGTTTTCTCCTCTCCCAGCGCCATACTGTGGGAGAGCAGATGCATAGAATAAGTCTTAATTCCAGTAACTTAGTCTAGTCCGGGTTGCTCCCCACAATGACCTTTTGTTCAAACAGCAGTTATAGTAACCAGAATAATTTATCAATCAACCAACAAACAGAAAACAGAGAAGCAAGGGGGAAAGAGGGGTTAGATAAGCAAGCTTGAGATAGGCTGGAAGGTCCGCAGTACCTAAACTCTGTCGTACTCAATGCTGATGTGTCTTGTGATGGGACAAGGACATAAGCCTTGGCCATTCTAGCTCCTTGCCTAAAAGTAGATAAAATCAGATTTTACCCCTAACCCCTGCATTCTTCTAAGAGCCTAGCTCAGTCCCATACCCTGTATTGTTCCCCACTCCACCTCCTGGATTCTTTTCCAGGTTTGAAACCCTAAGGGAAACTTGAAAAACCTGTATGGAGAAATTGCCTCGAACCTCATCTCTGGACCCTTAGCCCACCCTAAGCTACAGAAGGCCCAGTCCTCTGGAGGATTGTGCCCTCTGCTGTGTGTTCAGTCTGTGTGCACGCCAGCAGTTGGCCACCCACCTCTGGGAGTTCATTTTTCTTGAATGAATTCATCTGGCTGCGAGCTTGTATCTTGTCTCCTCTCTGTTCTGCACCCCCTTGTCCTTAAACCTTGTCCAGTCTTCTCTGTGGAATGTGGTTATTAGGACCAAAGCAGGAGTCAGTGAGGGGTGGGTTCCTATGGATTGAAGGAAGCTGGACCTGCTTCATTAATATCTGAAGCTCACTTTGTCTCTGTACACCTTTCTATCTAAAGCAGCACTCTTATTGTTTCATCCTTTTGCGTCTGTGTTTAATATATGTATCCATTTATTTTATGTATAACACATTTCATTGTGACTTGCTTCTACTTTTCATTTCTCTTACTGTTTTATAACAGAATTGAACATTCTTAAATAGTACAACCAAGGCATTACATGTCGCAAGCCTCGGTGAGCAAGTCCTTATCAGATCAGTTGTGATGTGCTCCTGTGTACTGGTATTCCCCAGAACCTGAGCATGAAGTAACTTGTAGAGGATTCCAGCATACACTGGCATCAAGGTGTTTCAAAGACAAGAAGAAATAGACTGTTCTTGCAAAGAGTCTACATTTTCCACAGAGCATTCTTCATTGTCTTTACAACACAGAGGCATCGCCCTGAAATCTAAAGAAAACAAATATTTTTCCATGTTTCTTTAAGTCAGAGCAGTGGTTTTTAAGCGTTTGTATGTACCAATATTAATTCAAGAGCCCAGTTTCTGATTTCTGGGGGCCCCTGATTCTGCACATCTAATAAGCTCAGGGATACAGTTTCCGCAGCCGAGTTCGAACAGTAGCAGGTCTCAGTACCCGGGTTAAACACTGCACTTACATATTTATAGAGCATCTGCTCCACACAAGCCTCTGGGCTGGGTGCAGCAGCGGACAAGATAAGGATGTGGTTTAGATCTTGATTCTCCTTGATCAGATTTGCTCTCTAAGTAGATTTACTCCCTAAGACAGAGTGCCTAAGTCTGTCATTAGACAGGTTCGGATAAAGCAGAAATCGCCTCCCTTGGGAAACGGTAAGGGAACACTTCAGTCTTGGGACCGTGGAAATCGTGGAGAATCGCAGCTTTCCATTTTAGCAGACAGGACAATAAAAAATAATGAGAAGCACTCAGCCAGGAGAGGCCTGGGCTAGTCCTGCTGCGGCTCCAGCATCAGGGGTCTGCGGGCAAGAACAGGGCTGTCCTGGGTCTTGGGAAAGGATAGCACCCACAGCCAGTGTCTCGGTGCCAGACCTGGCGCGGCGGCGCTGGGCGCTGACTTGGCAAAGGGCGCGGCGGGGCGCTTCCTTTCCCAGAGGGCCTGACCGAGGCGCTGCTCTCGCTTGGCACCGGGCCAGGAAGCCGAAGCGGGGGGACCTTTCAGAGCAAGCTCCAGATTTAGACATGGCGCTGGCTGCGCCCGCGGCAACTGCACCACCGTGCCCGACAAGGGGTCCACATCCCTTTTTCCCCGACGCCCACCGGCGGTTTTCAAGTGTGTGCACGCCTGCTCAAGGGCTGCACGTCTAACAACTTCACGTGCCGGAAGGGGCGCCGCCGCGGGTGCACGCTCCTTCCTCGGCCCGGAGCGCGGCCCGAGCCCGAGCACTGCGCCTGCGCGGCTCCGCCCGCTCCCCGCCCCCTGGCCTTCGCCCCGCCCTGTTACCCCTTGTACTGCCGCTAGGGGTAGCGGCGGCGGCTGCGGCTGCGGCCTGAGAGCGTGGCTGCTCTGAGGGCACAGGAGCCCGTGCGAGTGGGAACGAGGGAGGCAGAGGGTGGGAAAGCCGGCGGCAGAGGAGGGCGGCGCCGGAGGAGGGCGGCGCGTGGCTGACTCATCTCTCTGGAAGATCAGACTGACAGACACACACACTCGCCGAACCCGCCCGCCCGCGCCGCTCCTCCTCAGCCGGGAAGCGCCCGCCCGCACCACCCTCCCGCCCTTCCCGGGAGCTCTCCGGGCCCGACCGCCTCAGAGAAAGTTTTTCTCGTCGGAGGCGCCAGAACCGTCGCGGGCTTTTGGGAAGAGGGGGACGGAAGAGGCGGCGGCAGCGGCGCAGGCCCGCGGAGTGCATGTTGCCCGGCGCCTCGGCTGCCTGTCAGGAGGACCTCGGGGCGGGGTCGGGCTGAGCCCAGCTGCTTCCTCTCGGCTCCGCCGCGCCAGAAATCTCCCCGGACTGTCGCGGGGGTCCCCGCTCCTCAGCCCGCCATGTCCAGGCTGCTGCCGCTGCTGAGGGGCCGGACCGCGCGCAGCCTGAGGCCGGGCCCGGCCGCCGCCGCCGCCGCCGCCGCGCCCCGCCCGCCGTCCTGGTGCTGCTGCGGGCGGGGGCTGCTGGCGCTCGCGGCCCCCGGCGCCTCGCCCGGCGGCCCCCGGCAGCTGGGCACGCACCCCAAGAAGGAGCCCATGGAGGCGCTGAACACGGCGCAGGGCGCGCGCGACTTCATCTACAGCCTGCACTCCACCGAGAGGAGCTGCCTGCTCAAGGAGCTGCACCGCTTCGAGTCCATTGCCATCGCCCAAGGTAAGGGGGGCGGGCCGGGCGCGCTCCCCTCCCCCCGCCCCGCGCAGACCCCCGCCGCCGCCCCGCGCGCCTGGCACGGCCGCCGGGTGTGTCTCTGGGTGGGGGGGGACTTGCCGCCTCCTGGGTGTCCCCGCGCAGGTAAGACCGGCGAGGGTCGTGCCAGGCTGCCGGGGCCGCGCTCCCCACCTGCCCGAGAATCCCGAGCTCCGGCCTCGCGTGGCAGCCGACACGGTCGGGGTTTTTTTAGGTTCGCCTTGCGCCTGCCCTCCCAGCCCTGGAGTCCCTGTGCCCGGGCTGCCGCGGTGGGGACGTGCACCCTGGCAGGTGGCAGGCCGTGCGGGCTCGGGGAAAGTACTGCGGACGCCGCAGGCAGGGAGAAACTTTGCCGAACGGTTGTCGCACGAAGACGTACGGGTGTCGGAAAGGAGGGTGTAGCTTCATCACGCGGGGATGCTCTCCGCTGCCTGTGTCCGTGGACACACGAGCCGAAGGAAACATTTTCCTGGAAAATGGAAAGAGTGGATCACACCAGCAACTGCAGACACGTAACTCTCAAGTTAGGCTGCAGGTTGTGTTCTCCCAGAAGTTGGAAGAATGAGATCGATAAGAATGTTGTGGCAATCTGTGGCTCGACAGTAGAAACCAGGCTTCTGCGGAAAAGTGATTTGGAATGATGAAAGCAAAGCTATTTTTAAGCCAACATGTTAAAGTAGGATATTTTTAAAGCAAGTGCAGAATGTGGTAGGTCAGAGTTTGAAGCTAGGTGAAAAGGCTGAAAGTTCAGGAAACCAAAAGGATGAAAGGAGCACAGCACTAAAATGGATTCAGTCTTAAAATGTTTGTCGCTTAAAGGTTATGCAGACAAAACACATTGCTACTATTTTAAATTCCATTCTCATGCGTTTGAAAGTGTTTAAAAAGTTTGCCTTTTCTCCTCCAGAAGTTGGTGGGTAGGTAAACATCCCGTATGTTAAGTCTGGTGCGCATTGACATGGAACATGGCAGGATTCACTAGAGGCATTCAAAGTGAGTCTTTGGCCTGTGGGCATGAATGAAGAGAATTAGCTACCTCATTTAAGCAAGACTTATCTGTACTACTTCAGGGATTTTTTTTTTTTATTAGTTATGCTTTTTAACCACATTTTTTCTCAGTTCTGGGAATTGTGGATCAATTGAAAGTATTGGATGATTCCAGACGTTATTGATCTACAATGCTTTTAAAGGACTGTGTAGCATCCATATCAATTCAGTTATTAAATATGTAATCACAGTGATACAGGATATCACAATCAATGGTAGCATATTGGTAAT